AGCGCAGTGTGCAAGGTCTGTGGCTGGTGTCATCATCAGGAGCCAGCCTGGCTGCTGTAGCCCCGTCTCCCTGCTCACCCGGCCACTCCAGGAAGGGGGCAGGAGGACGAGACTCCCTGCTCAGCCGTGGAGTGGCGGAATAAGCAGAGAGCCAGGCTACTGCCATGACTGGCTCCTGATGATGGCAACAGTCACATGCCTTGCACACTGCGCTATAAGTAGACCAGCTGGTTCTGGGGGTGGGAAGTAATTGGGCCGAGCCACCTGGGCCGGCGGGCTGCGTATTCGCCGAAAAAAACGAAGCCTCCATCTGTACTCATGAGTCTCACAGGCCCAAAATCTGACTGGTGGTTGCACAAGGTTTGTGTAACTTGCAGTGGCTAACTTGGCAAGGTAAGTCATGGCCCAAGCCCTGCAATGGAGATGTACTCCAGTTTCTTTATCAAATGGCTGTTGTTCGCGGCAACAGGTGATGCAAATTTTACATAACCATCAACAGAATTCCGACACAGCCTCACAAACCATTTCCAAAACCTCTTTGTTCTCCTGTCAAGATCAGGCACACTCACCGCTATTTTCGGTCTTGGCATCCGGGGCTTTCAAGTTGCTCTCTGGAACCGCTACTTCCCTGCCATCAACACACTCATCCCCTGGACAGGAAGGGAAGAAACAACAAGAAGCTGATGCACTAGAAAAGGGCTGGTTTAAGCCAGCAGCCTGGAAAGTGCTCCACGGGCCATGGCATTTAGCCTCTGGGGACCCTACCAAGCTGCCATCAAAGCATACCAAACAAGCCGTCAACCTGTCTATCGATCTGCCTGTCCATTCGTCCATCCATCCCAGAAGGTCGTTTTGGTGAGGCTAATGGTAAGCTTCCGCTGAGGAGAAATTTCCACCAGCACAGTAAAACATGGGACTGTGCCACTTGAAAGCAAGCACTGCTTCTGGGCAACTGGTCATCTTGATGAAGAAAAGCTACTTGCCCAGCGGCAATACTTCTGCAAGCAGCCTGATTTCGCCTTTACTCCTCTGGTGGGACCTTCCACTCAGAGGGAGCGCAATAGAACACCGCCCTCAGAAAGGAGAGGAAAAAAATGTTTCGAAATAATACGGGAGACTCCACTCCGTAAAGGAGCACATATTTCCCAAATCTGGATGTGATCTGTTTGTACTACTAAGCATACAACACTCTGTAAAAAGAAGAACCTGAGGTCTTCGGAGAAAGTGGAACTGCTCCAGTAGTCTGAGTAAGAACGTCAGCCATCTGTGCATCAGAACAAAGTGCACAAGAGCACGCGTGCAGGCACGCACGCACGCGCACACACACAATCAGCCATCTGTGCATGAGAACAAAGTGCACGAGAGCACGCGTGCAGGCACGCACGCACACACAAACCATGTACTTCCTCCGGGAGAACTGAGGAGCTTAATGCTTGGGGAGAAACTGTTCCAACCCAGAGCATGTGTTATGTGCCATCGAGTCAGAACCAGCCTCTAGCAACCCTAACAGGATTTTCAATGTAATGCAGATATTCAAGAAGTGGTTTTACTAGCCCTACCCTCCCAGTGAGTTTCCATGGCTGAGCAAGGATTCACACTCAGGTCTCATGAGTCTTAGCCCATCACTCTATCCACTACTACACCATACTGGGTGCCAACACAGAACTACTCTTTATTCTGCTACCCTTTGTCTTATGCTTGCCCATTTTACTATTTTAGAACAATTTTATACTGATGGCCAGGTCAAGAATTAGCATGATTCACAGATACAACAGAACTTACTTTTTTGACTGACCGGTTTTATGCCTTCCTCCCAAAACTGGGACTCAGTGCAGCTCATATTGCAGATGAAAACAAATATATACAACACTGATACCACTTGTTGAAAAGCAGTACCCCCTCTATTTTGCTTTCCATTACCTGTCTCCACTCAAAAATTAAATGCAATTGTCTAAACCAGTGGTCCCAAACCTTGGGCTTCCAGATGTTCTTGGATTTCAACTCCCAGAAATCCTGGCCAGCAGAGGTGGTGGTGAAGGCTTCTGGGAGTTGTAGTCCAAGAACATCTGGAGGCCCAAGGTTGAGGACCACTGATCTAAACCATGTCAAACATACTATCAAGTACTTGCAAGTAGTTGTCATGGAATTAGCTATCTTGTTGAGTTTCAGTTTCTAAGCCCCCTATCTTATTAGCCACTCAACTGCCAAAAGGCCACCTGAAGAAAAAAAACCACCTTTGGTTGCCAAAAGAAGAAAGAAGACTCCCTCTTGAGAATTTTATGGACAACCATCTGTCAGATATGCTTTGGTTTGTATTGCTAAATTGAGCAGGGAGTCGGACTCAGTGGCCTTATAGGCCCCTTCCAACTCTATTGTTCTATGATTCTATACCCACAGAGAAGTTAATATTTCTAACTCACTCATATAAAAAAACCCCTTGCCATTCTGACACATTGCAAATAGTCTCTCATCTTGCATTCCTCCTGCATGATCCTATAGCAAATGGAACTTGTTTCCACTTTTTCAACTAAGAGCCTTTTTTAAAGGAGAGATGCTGGCTCCAAGATCAAGCACGTTATACCGTATATGCCCAGCTCTGCTTTTCCTTCTACGCCGGCCACCTCTTTCCCCCCACCTGACAACCTCCCTCCATCTCTCCCCTATTTCTGCCTGCTTGTTCCGCCGCCCTCTTACCTTTAGGCTGAGCGGGAGCCTCCTTCCCGTCCGCAGGCCCCTTGGGCAGCAGGCCGGTGTCCACCTTGGGCCTGGGGGCACCCTGGCCGACGGGAGGGTGGGCTGTTCCGTCCCCACCCACCCCACCAGCAGCCAGCAGAGCCTTCCTGCTCAGGTCGAGCAGGGCCTTTCCAAAAAAGGCTTCCTGTCGAAGGGGTTGAAAGAGAAGGGAAAGAAGAAGAGAAGGAGCAGCACAGGCCCTTGTTATGACTCTGACACCAGCAACTGTTCAGACACAGAGCCCCACCCCCACCCCCCGTAGTCTTGCCCAACCTGTCAATCCCATCTTAGGCTTGCTCCTCCACCCTCAATCACAGTCTTCTTCCCGTTTATCCAGTGTTTGATCAATGGTTCCCCAGAGAGCTTTCCTCTAGTAAAACATACAGCAATTTTGTAGGATGAACTGGGACTCTGCCATCCCCTCCTTCCTACTCCGGACAAAAGAACAGCCGAAAGCACCAGGATAGGAGAACCTCCCCCCGCAGAGTCACCTCCAATGAACTCAGATAGCCTTCCCCAATCGAGTGCCCTCCGTGTAAATCCAGCCCGCACAGGCTACGGTAGCCACAAAGCCTACAGAGAGCACTGGACTGGAGAAGGCAGAACGAAGCGGACCCAGTTACCTGAAGGTAGGCAGGGAACATGTCCTCCAGCTTGCTCTTCTTCCTGCCCCTCCGCTTCTTCTTCTCATCCCCCTCTACCACACTTTGCTCAGCAACAGTCTCTGCGGGGGTTTCGGCAGGTTGCGTGGGTTGAGACCCTAGCATGGGTACGACAATTAAGAGGGTGTCAGTATGACCTTAAAATGAGCAAGACGGGGAGAAACAATCTCATCTGCCTGATTCAGACTATACTGTATTATCTTTCTGGTTCTGAAACTAGAAAACAAGGAGAGGAAACTGGGGAGGATTTCGGCGGCCAGGTTCTGCAAAAGCGTAGCAGCTCCATGAGCATTAATGCTTATGGCTCTGCACTTCCCTTGTACCTAGTTGCTGGGGAAAAAAAACTTAATTCCCCCCCCCCATGTCTTTTTCTCCCAGCCTTCTGCTGTCCTCAACCCTATCCAAAAAACTCCAGATTTAAGAACCTTGATCTTCAAGGCAGAACACCATGTGGTAATTAAATGGATGCCAGATGTATTTGCATTTCAGTGATAAAATTCTGAATGCGGGATTCAGGATGCAAAATGAGAAACACTGGTGGTTATGTCTATAGAAATGCAAACCTTCTCTTTTCTCAACCCAAAACCCAACCCAGAGGAAAAAACTACAAGACACAAGCACAGTCTTTACCTTCCTCCGCTTGCCCCTCAGTGCCTGTCCCTTCACGAGAGGCTTCTGCCAAGACTACGGGACCCTTTTTCAAGCGGGTATGTGACTTCCGCTGTCGCACCATGAACCCTCCAATCCCTGAGTCAAGAAGCAGCAGAGAGACCAGCCAGTTAGAAATCAGTCAGTCAGTCATTCAAATCAAGTCATTCAAATCAAGTCATTCATTCATTCATTCATTCATTATTTATTCATTCATTCATAATATGTTTACCCCACCTTTCTCCTTAAAAGGACCCAAGGTCACTTGGGGGAAGAGAGAGGGGAAGGCTCTCCTTCCCTGCCAGAACCCTGACCCAAGCAAGTGGACTGACCTGGGCGGTAGGGCTTCCGTTTCCGCTTCTTGACCTCTTCCGAGTCCTCCAGGAGACCCTTTCCCAACTCAGCTTCAGCTGCAGCCTCCCTCTCTGGGGTAGCAGGGGCTTCCAACTTGATCTCACACTCCATGTGTTCAACATGATTAACTGCAGGCCAATGGAGAAGAAGAGCAAATCCTCTTACACAGTTGTCACACATTATCTGAAAATATTCTGAAGCCTGTATTATATCATTAAAAGAAACTCTCCCATTCCTACCAGCATACACATTCCAATTCCATTTTGATCTCTCACTGAGCGTTCTGATCTCTTCCCTGTGCGCTTTCTGTACAGTCCTCTAATGGAACTCATACATACGCAATTGCCAAAGGAAGGAACAGACTGCAAACCTTCCTTCAGAATGGACAGTTCTGACCCCACTGCATATATTCAACAACAGTTCACACATCAGCAAAAATTTAAAACTCCATAGCTGTACTTGGGAGGGGGAGCACAGGGTGGGAGGGAGGGAGGAAGCAAGATAGATGGAAATAGAAAAAATCATAACACAGAGATCTCCAGCTAAATAGGCCATTATGGAGTGGGTATTTATCTCTTAGTATCCAGATGCCATGCGATACAATACTGTGCTTCTGCTACAGCTAGAACTTTTTCTGCTCTTACCAAATCAACCATCTAGACCAGCCATTCTCAAACACTTTTTTTTTTGGCCATGGTCATAAACACAATATGAATGAAATACAGGCTGAATCAGGATTGTGTATGTCACATAATTAGCTTTACAAGGTGGTGTGCGAAGAACCATTTCCAGTCTGTGTTCCCCTTCAGATGGGTCAGCCCCCTCTCCCCCTGCGGGGGCCCATATCCCACAATGCAGAACTATGCTACCTCCATGTGATGCTGCAACGTTAAAATCAGCAGAGCTTGTTCTAGATGACAGGTCAGACTTGGGAGTGGAGGAAAGACAGCTCGGGTATAAAGACATAGATCTGATCCCTGAGATCAAGTGCTGGGAAAGCTCCAGTTTCCACCCAGCAAGGAAATCTCCATATCCCAACATCCTGGCAAAGGACTATCTATATTCCACCACCAGCCAGGTGGACAGTATTGGGCTAAATGGATGACTGTGTTAAAACAGAGATATCAATGCAGCTGTTTTATACCATCCAAGAAGTGGGTGGGGACAAGCACTAACCTTCAGCTTTTAGGATCTCATCTGCCTCCACATCACCCTCCTTCTTTTCATCCGGGCCCAGGGGATCCATGACATCCAGCCCACCTTCGCCATTGAGGGTACCCGCCCGAGGCATGGTTGGTGTGGTCTTGCGTGGCCGGCGCTTGTGTAGTGGCGACAAGGACAGGTTGCGCAGCACCGCCATCCCGGTCTCTGTGAGCCAGACTCCTTCAAAGCGAAAATACTGCGGCTCTGGGTGGGGTGGGGTGGGGAAGGGATGAAACCATGGGTTACGGCATGTTTCCTTTATAGAACAGAAGGCAAGTGGGCTTGCATCCTCTTTTTCCAACCCACCAGATCCCATTTTCCTCTTGCACCTGATAACAGCAGTCCGAAAAGCCTTATACTCAAGTTAGTTCCAAGTGTAATGCCTCCCACACCTAGGTGATAAAACTCTGCCCGCTAAGTGCTGGGGCCAAGGAAAAATGTTTGCGATTGTGGGAAAGGGATGGGCTCCAAGGAAGCTAGCTAGCTAGCTGGTCATAGCCCTCCCCGTTTCCTCCTGTGTACCTTCACCTCACCATAACTCTCTTGGGGGAAGTGAGGCTCAGTGGTCTGAAGTCACTCAAGTGAGTTTCACAGCTCAGTACGAGATTGACTCCTAGATCTTTGAAACTCTACTTCAACAACACAAACACTGCACCACCCAATCCCAGGCTTCCCCAGGGAGATAAACCGGACAGGCACCAAGCACTTCAAGCCATTGTGGTACCGAAACCAGAGATGATTCAGAGGTTCTGCACCAGGAGATCTGCCCATATTTCTTAGCATACAGAAGACTTGTGGGATATGAATATTTAAAAATATATTTACCTACTTTTTCTGCGTGCAGTATATTATTCAAATTACACAAATGAATGAATTAATTCACTGGCAAGTTACTCAAAGACAAGGCACAATTATCATAATAGTGTGTTACTACAATAATTACCATGAGTACACAGTATGAGGTACATTCACAGCACAGTATCAAGTAAGAATATAAGCAGCAGCCAACAATTTATATACAACAACAAGATCTGTCCAAGAGCGGACAAAACTTAGGGGCAGAGCCCAGGCTCTGCATGTGGACCATCCTAGATCTGATCCAGGCCATCTCACACATGGAGCTAGAGAAGACTTCTGCCTCAAACAGTGGAGAGCCACTATTAATCAGGGCAGACTGCCTTAAGCTGGGAGGATCCATGGCAACTTCCTCTGTTTCTAAGCCATCTGTGGTTGGCAGAAGCATTAACAAGAAGAGGAATATGAGTTTTCCTCATCCTTGGAGAACCGATATCTGTGATCCTAGGAGCTGCCAGGTGATTCCCTAGCAACAGAAGCAAGTAAGCTCATAAAATACTCTGGAAGAAATCTTGCTCACTCTTGGCACCCAACTGGAGGGGGTCGGTAGAAAGCATCGATAAGAAACACATTTACCTGGCTCCTTGACCTTCACTTGGATAATTTCTGGAGGTGGAGCTGGAACTGTTAAAGGAAATAACAGCCAAAAGAAAATTTATCTTGGATGATTCAGTACGACTTTTGGTACATTTTTACCCCCTACCTCTGCATAACAGGAGAGATCCTCCTATGTTTGGGGAGCGTGCATGACTACCCACCCAACCTGTCTCCTCTGCTCCCTTTAACAGCACACCCTGACCGTTATCCGTGTCATCTCCACGCCTTTCCCAGCCACCTGCAAGTCACTGTATTCTACGACTGTAAAGAGTAGCATAGACTAAGCTAGTCTAGCATCCTCTGTTCACTCAGTGACTTACCAGGTGCTCTAATGGAAAGCCCTCCAACTCGTCCAGCCCCCAGCAATTAGTATCAAGAAGGTTGCTGGATACATCCTTTGTGACTCACAGCTTTATCTTGCATGACGTGGTTCCATCTTTCAAAGCCACCCAAACGGGTAGTCACTGCTACCATTACCACATTTCTCCGCCTCTCTACCATTACTACTACTCATGCTCCACCACCCTATCCCTCTTTACTCCGCCACTCTCTTCCCTAACACTCTTCTGGCCAGCCTGGAGGTATGTCCACCACCCACCTCCAATGATCTCACAACAGCCCTCCATGCACCAATGACTTGTCACTTTTTTCTGACCCCAGCCATCCCCTAGTTCAGGTGTGACAAAAGGAAGGTATGCTGGAGCAGCTGTAATTGTCTTCTGATATACACCAGGAGGCAACACCTGGGAAGACCCATGCTTTTGTGTTGATCACAAGAATACCAACCACGCTAGTGGGGGCCACCCTGCCTGGATTGGACGGCAAGGGAAGTTAACCCTTTCATGGATGGCTCCATCTCAGGAAATACAGAACAGTGGCCAGTCCTAGACCCAAGGGTTCTGGTGTTCCTATTTGAGCCGCTGGAGGGAAGGCAAGGGTCCGCGGCAGGTCTTGCCGCTGCACTGAAGCTCTGGCACCCACCCACAGGCACCAACGTGGCAAGCTTGGTGCCCCACTCCACACCTCCCCTCATTTATCAGCTGCTGCGGCTGCTGCTGCTTTGGGAGTAGAACGTGGTTGGAGACTCCTGCACCATCCCAAGACTCACCCACAGGCTTGATCACATAGGGCTGACAGGAGGTGCAGTCAAACCCCTCATCGGCCGCTTGCTCCACTTCCTCTTCAGTGAAAAGATTGTCACACACAGCATGCATCCACCTAAGAAGTACACAGAGAAAATGCTCAAGGGGCACGCTGGTTATTAATATTTTAAAAAAAAATTAAGGGAAAAGTTTGGCCCAAATCACGCTGAGCAAGTTCCTAAGCCTATGTTTTTCCTCATAGCATTTGCTCATGTTTGCTTGAATGCAACCTTGGAAGCAATAAACTTTAAATGCCTGTTATTTCATCTTGTTTTCACAAAGAGAGCATAAAGGAAGCAAATGGAAAATACAAAGGCCTCCGAAAAATACATCATCCGTTTCTTAGTCACTGGGCTGTAGAACAGCCCGTTCCACCTTCGGTCCTAGGATGACTTCAGCCATTCGAGAACAATCCCATGGAAAGATTCAGTGAAGGCTTATCATATGCAAGGCCTGCCGCCTTCAACCAAGACATTTAAGCCCAGAACAGAGCTTGGAAGGAACAAGGTACAAGGAGCCAAGTCATCAATGAGTGATGTTTTCTAGTTATTTTTAAGATTTGTTTAAATGAATTTTAGAGGCATTTTGAAGGATTTATCCTGTCCTTCTATCAACCCTCCTGTTGAGAGTTTGCGAAGTAGTATCGAAAAAAACCTAGAGGAGAGTTCTACCAATGGAATGACATCTTTACACTTTATGTTTCCAAATTGGAAGGGTACAGTTAGTTATCAGAAGCATCTTATCAGTAAGGGCCTAACTTTACTTGCCTTTGCACAGATGCGACTGTGACAATCATAAAAGTGCCTTATCAGCGCAGGTGGCCAAGACAACGACGGCTTACCGTTCACACTGCTGGCACTGGATTAGCAGGTCATCCTCTACGTACTTCACCTGGCAGATGGGGCAAGTGACCAGGCTGGCACAGGGCGCACAGTGGGTGTAATTGTTCTGCCACTCGCAGTGGAAGCCAGGAGAAACGGCCCCACACTGTACACAGCACACACACCTATCAAAAAGAAAAGGGAAGGGGATCAACACAAACTGTTTAGATTCCTCTTGGATCCAACCCATCCCCTTCACCATAAAGAAAGGAGATGCCCTGAAGCATGGAAAGCAAAGCTAGGAGTCTCCCTCTCTCCTTTCAGGGCCACCATCGGAACATCTGTACATACACACTGTGAGAGCCCCTGCAATTCTTTTGTGCAAGGATTTTCTTTTTTAAAAACCTATTTGCCTCTGTAAGGCTAACATTTGGTGTCACTGCTGCAAATTCAATGATGAGGGATTAACTGCCCACCCCTTAAACAGATGACAATCCACGTCATCATTTACTTTCTCCAAAACATTTATCTGAATGTAGATCAGTAAAGTAGGTGACAAAATCTTCCGAAGTATCTGTAAAAAGCCGTACATGGGAGAGTGTAGTTAATGTTTCCTATACAGTATATGAATTCCTTAAGTCCAACTATTATTAGGCCTTGTTACAAACATGGTGCAGATGTAGAACCAAGAGATCATTGCTAGCCACCTTCTTTCTCTGCATTTTGCAGTTATGCTTCCGGATACTTAACCTGCAGCAACAACAACAACAACACCTGCCCGAATATTGGGAACAATGGCTTCAGGTGTGGACCCCTGGGAGGTGTCCAGGCGAGAGAAGGGCCCCTGCAGCCTTCCTTTGGAAAGCCTAGTCTCTCACCATTTGCACTTCCAGCCACCCTTGGGCACCGTGTTGAGAGGGGGGTCCAGGCAGTACGTGTGGTAGCTGATGTCACAGTCATCGCAGAGCAGCAGCCGGGAAGGGTCAGACGCTTTGCCACAAACTTCACACACAATGCACTCCACGCAGCGCCAGCCCTTTAGCAGCATCACCTTGGTAATCTTTGAACAAGGAAAGAAGAACAGACACATATAAAAGGGAGCCCTACGCCCTGGGGCAGAAGAACCGGAGGGTCCCCTTGCTTGGAGGAGGAGTTGAGAGCCATGCCTGCGCCCTGTCTGCCCTGGGGCAGAAGAACCCCTTGCTTGAAGGAGTTGAGAGCCATGCCTGCGCCCTGTCCAGCTCTCCTGGGACACCAGGTGTAGGATTCCTACAAAATGCAATCCAATTCCAGGTGTTCCAGAGCAAATCTCATCATCTTCACCTATCGTGATCCACAGGATGGTAGGAATCATCATTCACCAATTTCTGCAAGCAGCTGTCTCCCTACTCCAACCCACAGGGTTCGCTGGCTATATATTTATTTTATTTATTTTAACTTATAGCCAGCCCTCTCAGGCCTAATCCTTTGGCAGGGTTGCTGGGAGCAAGGGAAGTCGTTGTAGTCGTAGTAGTTATTGTCGTCATCATCATCACAGAACAGCATAGTCAGAAGGGTCCCTATGGATCAACAGGTCCAGTCCCTATCAAGGAAGTACAGTGACCTCTGGCTCAGCAGCCAGAAGTCTAAACCACGGAGCTATCCAGCAATTCTATGATTCTTCGCTGGGCTCAACTAGTCTCTGAGGAACTGTTTGTCATACCTAGTCCAGCAGGAGCAGCCTATTTTTCCAGGTGCCTCTCCCATGAAGGTCCCAGGGCCTAAAAGAACTTTCTCAGGTCAGGACCTATGGTAAGTGATCTCAGTGCTGGACAGGTTAGCCAATGTCATACTTCCCAGATATTTTTGACTGCAGCACCCATGAACTACAACCATCATGGCCAGTGGTCAGGGATTATGGAATTTTTAGTCCAAAACAGCTGGGGGGAGAGCAGGTTATCTACCGTTACAATGCAGCCTTTATTTTTTTGCCAGCTTCCATGATTCCTGTGGGCTGAACTGCTCCTCTCCTGACACATTCCATAAGCGCTTGACCCATTTGGCAATAAATAAATAAACAGACAGACAGATTTTGGAGCTAGAAGTTTCACATTCTACCATGATGTAACTCAAATACAGTGGTGCCTCGCAAGACGAAAGTAATTCGTTCTACGAGTAGAGTTGTCTTGCGAAAAGCAGTTTCCCATAGGAATGCATTGCAATGCATTCCTACGGGAAACCTCGCAAGACAAATGAATTATTTTCGTCTTGTGAGGCATTGGTCTTGCGGGGGAAAAAATCATCTTGCGCAGCAAGGTCACAGAAGAAGCCATCTTGCGAGTCACCAACACGATCGCAAAACGCTTTCGTCTTGCAAGTTTTTCATCCGGTGAGGCGTTCGTCTTGTGATGCACCACTGTATAGGCAAAACCTTACACTGTGAGACAATTCAAAATATTCAGCTCAAAGCTCAATCAGCCGGAGAGGACCAGGGCTTTAGGGACAGACTTCTATCTTATGGTTGCGAAAGGAGGGGGATGAGGCAGACCTTACCTTGCTATTGACACAGTATGGATGATAACACTGAGAACACTGGGAACACGCCAGGAGATGGCCTTCAGCACCTCGGCCAAAGCTACCGCACACTACGCACATGTCCTGTTCCAGAAAAGATTGAGACGTGGATCAAGAGAGGCCCCACAGATCCCAGGAGAAAAGCTCCTGATCCCCTCAATTCCACATCATTGCCTACATTGCTGTTCTGCTTACTCCGCAGACTTCTGACATTTTACAACTAACAACTCCAGTAAAGGGTCAAGGATGGCTAAGCAGCCAAAATGGGTCTGTTAACACGGTGGCTTGTAGCTGTTTCCATTATCCGGAAGATGAATCATGGCAACTGGACTTCTTCCTTATTAAGTTGAAACGTTTGACTACAGTAGTTTCTTCAGTCTCAGATGAAATGAAACTTTTCAACTTAATAAGGCACATTTGGATGAAACACATGCCCTGGATCCATTTCAGTCGGGCTTCAGGCCGTGCCACGGTACAGAGATAGCACTGGTCGCCCTATACGATGACCTGTTGAGGGAGGCCAACAGGGGTAAAATATCTCTGTTGGTCCTCCTCGACATCTTGGTGGCCTTCGATACCATCGACCACAGTATCCTCCTGGGGAGGCTCTCCGAGTTGGGTATCGGTGGCTTGGCTCTTGCCTGGTTCGGTTCCTTCTTGGGGGATCGCCCCCAGAGGGTGCAGCTTGGGGAGATTATTTCGGCCCCATGGAGTCTCAAATGTGGGGTTCCACAGGGGTCGACTATCTCCCCAATGCTGTTTAACATCTATATGAGGGCGCTGGGTGGGGTCATCAGGGGGTGTGGAGCCTTGTGTCATCAATATGCTGATGACACCCAACTCTACATCTCCTTTTCACCAACTGCAGGTGATGCCGTCCTGTCCCTCCAGCGCTGCCTGAAGGCCGTACTGCGATGGATGCGGGAGAACAGGCTGTGGCTGAACCTGGACAAAACGGAAGTTCTGAGGGTGGGTGGCCTTGTGAATGGTGGCTTCGGCAGCTCCCTCATGTTTGGGGGGGCGGCCCTGGCCGCGAAGAGTGGGGTCCGTAGCCTGGGGGGTACACCTGGACCCGATGCTCACCATGGAAACGCAGGTGGCGTCGGTAGTCCGCACCGCCTTTTTCCACCTTTGGCAGATTGCCCGGCTGCAACCTTACCTAGACACGGGGGCACTCACCACCTTAGTACATGTACTCGTAATCTCTGGATTAGACTACTGTAACACGCTCTAAGTGGGGCTTCCTTTGAAGCTGGTGTGGAAACTTCAGGTGGTGCAGAATGTCGTGGCCAGACTCCTTACTGGAGTGAGAAAATACCAACGTAGTTCTCCTACTCTGGCCATGCTGCACTGGCTGCCCATCCGTTTCCACATTGACTTCAAAGTGTTAATGCTTACATATAAGGCCCTACACGCTTTAGGACCTCGATACTTGGCGGAACACCTGCTCCCACCTAGATCTACTCGGATCACCCGCACAAGCCAGGAGGTGAGGCTGAGGAGTCTAACGCCGAGGGAGGCGCGGTAGGAAAGGACACGAAATTGGGCCTTCTCGGCAGTGGCTCCTCGCCTCTGGAATAACCTTCCTCCGGCGATTCGTGCGGCCCCTACGCTGGGCACTTTTAAGAGCCAACTAAAAACATGGTTGTACGTTCAGGCCTTCCCTCCTGTCAGTACTTAATTTCTTTTTTTCCTTTCATTTATTATTTGTTTTATTACGGCACGTGTTACAGACTGTTTGTAAAATCCTTGTTTTATTGTATACTCCTTTATTGGAAGCCGCCCAGAGTGGTCGACCAGACCAGATGGGCGGGATATAAATCAATCCATCAATCAATCAAACAAACAAACAAACAAACAAATAAGGAAGAAAGAAGTCCAGCTGCCATGATTCGACTTCCAGATAACTTCACCCGGATGACTGAGAATCTTCACAGAGAGTTACATTGTATTACTCAATGCACAAGTCTTCAAAGACTCCTGAATTGGACAACTGGACAAAAACCTCTAAAATATGATGAAGACGATAAATGTAATAAGTGAAATCTAATACATCCTATTGTAACCACAGAGCAAAAACAGCTTTCAACCACAAAGAAGTTCAAAGTGTTGGGGTGGTGGTGGTGGGGGGAAGAGATGTATAAACATTGTTTTAGCAGGATGTCAGCATGTACAAAGACCTAAAGTGGTAGTCATTAGAGCCGTGTTTCCGCAATAAATGCATGTGTGTGTTTACCCCATTAAAAATACTTTTCTATGCAAATCTGGCAGGGGGAGTGGCAGGTTACTTGGCTATTATAAAAAGGGGTCAAAACCTGAAAATGTGGGGAACCACTGGTTTAGAGAGAGTCGGAGTTTGACCCAGAAAGGCAAGCTGCTTCCTCCTTGAAACACAGAGGCAGCATTGAACACCCTTCTGAAGTTCTCCAGGGAAGCAGACCTGCTGTGAGACCTGCATCTTTGCATCTTGGCAGCAGCATACCCAGCCTCACCCCCACAAATCAATTGGTCAGACATTCAATTTAACCAATTTCATCAGTGCCATTAGAGACAGACTACCATACACATTTACATGTTTGCTCCTGCTGCTGTTTCTGAACTGCACCTGTCCTGCCTACCTGCATCAGCACAAATTTGTCAGTGTTGGAGAACAGCACTACGGTGTTTTGCATGGTGTCATCGTCGTCGTCGTCGTCCTCCTTGCTTGGGGAGCTGTCGATATCAGCCAGCTTGGAAGAAAGAGAGGGAGCAAGCAAAAGGATACAGTGAACCACTACGCCATCTGGAGAGAAAGGACATGGACAGGAAGGAGCACACGCGCACAACTCCATCCTCAGATAGTCCATCTTGCACTGGTGTCCCCGTCCATGCTACGAGTCCCCTTTGTCACCTTTCCGTGCATCACGCCCACCCTCTCTTTCTTACTCCATGCCCCCTCTCCCATCCACACTGCCTGTACTCCAAGAGGGGCAGAATTCCTACTCCTTAAAGCAATGGTCCCCAGCCTTGGGCCTCCAGATGTTCTTAGACTTCAACTCCCAGAAATCCTGGCCAGCAGAGGTGGTGGTGAAGGCTTCTGGGAGTTGTAGTCGAACATCTGGAGGCCCAAGGTTGGGGACCACTGCCTTAAAGAACATGGAGGAAGGCAACATTTCCACAAGGGTGGCCTCTCAATGTGGCAACGAAAGGGAAAAACAGCATCTGCTGAACAAGACTCTGCTTTTAAATGTGTGAAGGAGAACAAAATCCATCCCAAAAAGAATACGGAAGCCTAATCTATGCAAGGTGGGACGTGATGGCGCTGCGGGCTAAACCGCAGAAGCCTATGCTGCAGGGTCAGACGATCAAGCAGTCGTAAGATCGAATCCACGCGACGGAGTGAGCGCCCGTCGCTTGTCCCAGCTCCCGCCAACCTAGCGATTCGAAAGCATGCAAATGCAAGTAGATAAATAGGGACCACGTCGGTGGGAAGGTAACAGCGTTCCGTGTCTAAGTCGCACTGGCCATGTGACCACGGAAGATTGTCTTCGGACAAAAACGCTGGCTCTATGGCTTGGAAACGGGGATGAGCACCACCCCCTAGAGTCGAACACGACTGGACAAAAATTGTCAAGGGGAACCTTTACCTTTACCTTTTAATCTATGCAAACCAAGAAGTGGGGGACTGATCCTGCAGCTCTTAACACTTTTAAAGGAATGCAAGCTCAAATGGGAGCTGGAGGAGGCCAGGAAGCACTTAAATCTAGGGCCAGTTTCCTCTCCTATATTTATGTGCCTGGAGCTCCAAGTACATTAAGTACTGGAAGGATCTGCCACGGGGCTGGTTGCAAGCCCAGGGAGGCAACCAAGATCTCATCAAGACGGCAAGAGCAACTTCTGAGCAGGATAGTGGCCGAGCGGCCCAAGCTATACATATAGCTTCCCTAATGCTACTGCCACCGTAGTTTCTCTCCTCCACCCCCCTCATCCACAACAAATATTGTCGTGCCTGCCAAAACTGTCCCTACCGCCAAGGTCTCGATGGAAGAGGTGGTGGATTTCAATCGCGCTCGGCCCCGCCCTCGGCCGGTGTGGGACCCACCCCGAGGCCGTCTCCTCCCAGGAAAACTGCTGCTGCGACCCTAGGACCAGAAGGAAAAGAGAGAGGGAGGGAAAAGTCACGTAGGCTGAAATACACACCCTCCCTTTCACGACCCCCGTCCTCTGAAAGTCCCACGGCTCCCACAGGTGGGGCCCAGGCAGCAAGAGAACCACCGTGCCCGGCAAGGGCCCTCGAGAGTCTGTGGCTGAAGGGCACCCGAGCTTACCTGTTTGACCCGGGAGCGGGCTGGGGAGCCACGCCGCCGTGCCTTCTCGCACTCGCCTTTGATGTCAAAGGGCAAGGAGTCGTCCATCTCGCCCATGGGCAAAGAGGCCCCATCTTCCCTCTGCAGGCTGACATCCGTGGAGGTCAGACCAGCCATCTCCAGGGAAAGAGAGCCCCCGCCTTCGTGGTACGGGGAGGCAAACGGGAGCTCTGAGCCCGGGAAGCTGCTGGCGCTCGCATCGCCCTGGCTCAGGTTTGAGATCTCATTAACAATGTCTGACTTCACTAACTGGTGGGACCTCAAAGGGGGTGGCGCTGGGCCGGGTTCCTCCTCTCCACTTGCCCCTCCCTCCGTGGGGTTGGCACTTCCATAGGCCTCCATTGGGGTGGAGGAGCCGCCCAGCAATTCCGCCTCCACAGGTGAGGGAGAGCGCTTGGTTTCACTCGCAAAGCTGAGGTGACCCTCATGAGCTTCTGGGCCCACCGAGGCCGCCCTTTCATCTGGTGGCTCTTCCTCACTCAGCTGGGGAGAGAATCGCTCCTCAAGCTCCATCTTAGGTGCTCCGGCGTCCTCTTCCTCCTCCTCCTCCTCCTCCTCTTGGATGGGCTGGGCTTCTCGGCTGCTGCCAAGGGGGCTCTTCGGGATGGGCACCTCCACCTCCATGGGCTCTTCACTGGCCTCTCCTTCCACCTCGGCCATTTCGGGAGAAGCCACCCTGGACGAGACGGGCTGAGGGCTCCCAGGAGAGGACGGCGACTCCTCCTCAGCTTCCTTAGCCAAGGGGGCTGGCTCAGGACGGCTCTCTGGGGGTTCTGGTTCTGTGGGCAGCAACTCAAAGGTGGGATGCTCTTTGGCACCAGGGGATAACGCCTCAGGGTCGGCAGGGGATGCCGGATCTGGAGGCGTGGGGGAAAGAAAAAGAAAATAAATAAATAAATAAATATGGAAACAAAGGAAGGAACATTCCACACACATGGGCAAGAATGATGTCACTCTGAGGGATGACAGGAACCAGAGCCCACTGTTTCCTGTACTGGTTTCTCTCTGCATCCTTGCCACCTACCCCCTTCTTTCACCTAACATAGCCATGTCCTTTGAAGAGTTGAATTCTAGAAGCAAAACTACGGACAGGAGTTCAGCCTGAAGCTACAGATTTGCTTGAACCTATTCCAAGTCTAATACCTGAGCTGATCATTTTTGTTTTGTTTTGCTGAAAGAGTCTGAACTGTGCAATATAAAAATAAGTGTGCTCAATGCTCCCTGGATGCTGTTAATTCAGCACATGTAAAAATTAGCAGAGAGTGCACATTTCTTGACTTGAATGGAAATCAGAACTTCCTTTCGTTGGAAACATGAATGACTTGTTAGCTTGACAAATTAGCTGGGGGGGAATGTGGGACCAGCAGTGTCTCAAAAGCAGAGGAGATTATATTGTCATTGGTGATAAGCTTCTATTATCGTGCATAGCTATCAGCAAAAACAGAATTATAGAAATATGTATTATTAGGCAAATGAATGGTGTTTTGCAAATCCTATATAGCTTGCAGAATCTATTTTTCTTACCATTAAAAGTCAGAGTGAAATGCAACCGCTTGTGTTTTTTTAATGCTTTTAAAGAAGCTCCACACTCACTCTTATGAAATCATTGCAGGACAGCTGGCCATGCCACCAAAGGAAAATAGGGGTTAAAAACTACAGTGGTGCCTCGCTTAATGATGTCAAGCCTACAGTTCAATGCATTCCAATGGGGGAGAAAAAAATTCACCAAAAATTAATGAAGAGTCAGATCAAAGCCAAATTAAGTTTGCAAAGGTTTCAGAAGGTGCACTAACGATCCCAAGCATTTAAGACCATTTTTGAACCTTTTAAGACACTTTAATAATAGCAAAAATGGAACATTGCTCAGCGAAACAGGGGACCTAAAACTGTCATCGCTAAGCGAGGCAAGGTCCCGAACATCGCTATGCGAAATTTCCCCATAGGGAACTTCGCTAAACGGAGCGCAAAATCGCTCCAAAAACCTCATCACTAAGCGAATACATCGTTAAACGAGGCAATCGCTAAGCGAGGCACCACTGTACTGCCAAAAGCTACAAGAAGAACAGCAACTTTGGTGATTCCAGGGACCAGATTTTGCATACCAAGATCCATAGTGGGCTATACCCTGTGCTGGACTGCTGAAAATCACCAGCAGAAGAGGAAAAGTGGGAGAAAAGCACACACACCTGATTGCTCTAAAACACCTTCAACACCAAATCTAGGTGTGCAGCAGATACATACAAAACAAAACAAAGAGTGATGCCTTTCTTCTAAAACAGGGAGATATCCTGCACACATCTTGTTTTAACATGGAAATTAGGTTCATTTTTTGTCAGCATGCCCCGCGAATTAATAGTGCTGGAACTGCAGCATGGGCAAAAGTGGCCAGGACTGAGGGAGAGGGTGGCAGGCAGCCTGGGGCCCACATGTCACCCACCCCAGGCTACCCAAAGGTCAACCCTACAGGTTTGTGTAAGACCATCTAAATGCACCGGACCACCCTGGCCGTTTTTACCTTCATAAAAGCATGCTATGTACATCTACACAAAATTACACCTTTGCACTATTTATTCTGGATGCAGACTTTGAGTTAACTTACCGGGTGGTACAGGGGGCGGGGGCGGGGGAGAGGGGGCCTTTTCTAGCTCTAATGGTGTCTCTACTTCCATTTGCTCCTGCCCTGCAGGGACCTCTGGATCCTCTTCCAACACTTCTAGAGGCTTGTCTCCTTCTGTAAGATGTTACAAAACAGGGTTCGGGGTGCATCAGGAACACAGCAAGTGTGTGCACGCAAGCAGGCAAGCAAGCGAGCTCTGTAGCGAACAACATTTCCACTTTCCCCACACCCACTTCAGTTTAGCCCTAGACTCCCTGTGGCCTTCTAGTTTAAAAGGCAACCAATATTCACGATTAAAAAAAAAACAGGAGCAAGCAATAACTCTTCTCAGACTGAGCCACAGTTATGAGACAATGACCTGACTGAGCATTGCTTCTTTCTCAAGAGAGCGTCTATCACTACCTGTCAACTGGGCAGAGCAAACCACACAGTCACACCCCAAATTAAGAACCATCTGTTGGGAGATGGTCGCTTACCAGCGGGCTTCTCGCCACACTCCAGAGGCACCTGCTCCTCCTCTTGGTGACAACGGTTGGGGCTGCTTCGGCTTTCCGGCTGCCCTTCATTGGCTACACAAGCTTCTTCTACTGGCTGGGGAGATGCTGGCGTGTCTGTTGTGAGAACATGTCTGAGGAGGTAAAGAAAAAGCAAAGCATACATCCGAATCAAGCCTTTTGAGAGAACAGCCTATTATGTTCCCCCTCAACACATCCACAGCATGCGTATGGATTTAAAGCTGCATACATTTCCAGCCACCCTGGAAAAGATCTGTGTGTGACCTAGTTCAGCACTATTATTCCTTATTATATAGAGCTCTTGTGAAAAAAAGAGAGGGGAAAGTGGAAGAGAGGGAAGGAGTCCAAATGGTGAATTTGGTGGCAGAAGAAAGGCCTGGCTCGAGACTTCTGCTCCCTTCTTAGCCACCATAATGCGCTACACTCTCAGCATTTGTATTTGGAACACTGCTTGAAAGCCCCACCCCATAAAACCCAGGCGAACAGAAGTAGATGCGCACCCCTGCTCAGTCACAGCAGAAGAAATCTCCAGCCCACTTCACTGAAAGTCCAGCATTGTGTTCTTGCACAGACAGGAGGGAGAAGGGTCTCCTTTATTCCAAGAGTTGTGAGCCAGTCAGCCAGAGCTGGGGTTGAGTCCTCTTCGCCCACTTGCATTACTAGCTGTTGCAATTATCTCCCCTAAGAAATGGTCACTATGACAAAGGTGTATAAAGACGGTGATAATCACTAGTGGGGGGGGGGGGAAAGACAAGTGTTCTTGTTCTTACTGTTATGACCAAATGCTATAGCCTGACATTTCCAAGGCTTTGAGGAACTCTTTCTTGCATCTTTCTGAAACAATTTGTTCTTCTAGGACTTCTGGTGCTGGTGTTGATTGAAAAAAGGTCAACAGGAAGAATTGCTTCAAATTCAATAGCATAATCATGGGACACGATGCAAGTACCCATCTATCAATGGCGATGGAGCACCATGTTTTGTAAAAAGGTGCCAAGGAAGACCAAGTGTCAAGAGTGAGGTGTCAGATTCAAAATGATTTTTTTTTTAAAAAAATGGTTGGTCTTGGGAGCATTCCGGTCAAAACTGTTGTTTTGATGACTTCCCAATCTTTTTTTTGCAGATGTTGTTGGAGTCTTGGACCTTGGCCAAGTTGATTGCTGTTTAGATGGCCGAGCTGTTCTTTGTTTACCGGCAGGAGATCTTCCTTTCTGGTAGCTCACATGCCACCTGGCTCCATGCCATTCTCCCCCATTCCAATCACAGACCTCCTTCCAATCTATACCAGCCCTTTGGATTATCAGACTCTATCTATTCATGCTTGGTAATACTGTACTCGGTAGAGGCAGCTGAGGGAAAGTAAGTTGGTAAGGAGCATGTTTAGTCACTTATGTTCAAGGCAGTGTAGCTCTGGCACAGCCATGATGAAGGTGGACAATCTCTCTCCTGCACGGAAGTGAGCAAGGATGCCATAGTGCACTTGCCTCATAATTCATGTCCTTTCAGCACCCATTTCAGAATTCAGGCATACTCTGATGGACGTTCTAGAAAATAATACACACTGCTTCTACCCTGCCTTGACTACAGGACAAGAAGCTATAGTTCAGGGCAAAGCCATGCGCACCAAGCCTTCACGGTCAACCCCATACAACTCCAGTTAAAGGATTAGGTAGGTAATGACGGGAAAGGCCTTCACACAAAGACCCTGGAGAGCTGCCACCAGCACGGCAGGCAATAGTGGACTTGAGACAGAAGCAGATACATTTATAAACTCCTCACCTCCTCACCTTTGGATCTGTCAATCCGACACTTAAAATTAGCATCCATCAAAGTAGATGAGGACTCCAGAGAACAGTGGAGGAAGGGTTTGTAGCGCAACCTTCTTACAAATTGACATATAACCCCTCCTGCTTAACCCATGCTGTAAGATGGGTCGCTGTCCTTATAACAAAAGTACTTAAGATGAGCCAAGAAACAGAGAATAGGTTCTTCAACCCAAGGCGTACTCACTCCTGGCTGCGCTGCTCAGGGGCCTCCGTGTCGTTTGTGTTCTTGCAGCGCTGTTCTCGGCACCCTTCACACAAAGAATAGTTCTCGTACCACTGGCAGCTCGGATCCAGTGCAGACGGGCGGAGGCCGCAGTCGGAACATACGCGGCAGCTCTGGAAGAAGGGAAATTATATGAGCATTCAAGACAGAAAGAGGCAGCTTGGGGGCTTTCTGAGACTGAAAGATGTGGCCATGTATTAGACACTAAAATTAGGGCTGTGTGGTCTTGGGAGTGAAGTAGGGAAATGGGTAGAAGGAAGGACAATGATGAGGCACAGAAGAATGAACAGATGTTTTATTCTTAAAAAAAAATAAGGTTCATTCATTTGGGGAACCCATCCTAGATTAATTTGATTGGATGAATCTAGGAAACGGGATACCTCCTCAAACATACACACTGGGTGCATTTTGCACTGTAAGAACTCATGGCGGCATAAACTAACATGAAGTTGGGACAAGATGTATTTCCTTCTGATGCAAAATACTACTTGAAATGCCTGCAAGGGAAAAACCACTGGATCCCACAAATCTACTGCTCAATTATTCTACCCTTGTCAATTGTTTAGAAATTATTATTCTTAGGCCTTTCTCTAATAAGGTGGACCGATTTACATAAAATAATTTGCATAAAAATCCCTAACTTATTCAACTGCTAAATATAGGCATTTTTGCAGAACCTGCATTCCCATTGGCCCAAGGAATAAAGTTAAGATAGAAGGAGAGATTGCAGAGCAATTGATAGATGGCACAAGTAAAATCACAAGGTGGGCAACACAAGGGACAACAGTTCCACCCTGGACAAACTACAGCCTGTTAGATACTTTGCCAGAACCTTTTCTAACAACAACAACAACAACAAAGGACAGAAGCTTGGCTTGGAAAGAGAGCAAAACTACTGAAAAAGTCTCCTTCTGTCATCCTGTGTTTCCTCACTTGGAAGCTGGCAATCCCCAACCCGTCTAGAGAAGAATTGGTTCCACCAGCCTGAGATGAGAATTCAGAATGCAGGTAGCAGAAGGCGGCTGTGTACAGCCAGGGTAGGCCAGCTGGGTATATGAAAGATTTTGGCTACTTTTCACAAACAAGAACACTTTCATTCTTGCTTTCAGAACAGGATAACTCCCAGGAAATTTTTTTCATTTTGAATGGAGGTAAAAACCACAAAGAACCCTCCACTACAAAACCGTACTGCTATGAAATCCTCTCAAGAAGCTTCCCCAGGCATGATTCCCTCTGACTTTCACATTTCTCCTACTCCAATGACATTGGAAAACAGCTCACCTCAGATGTTACTGCTCAGATTCGATGACTGCAACCCTAAACCAAATTTTAGCACTAGGTGAGTGAAAACAACAAGGTGCTCCAGACTTGCATGCGCCCATCCTTTTCTGGCACAACTATGGGGGCAAAGAGGGAACCGAGAAGCATCGGCTTCCTGCTTTAAATTGACCCGGGTTCGTTGTAACTTTGACTATGGTTATTTTGACAAAGTTTGCTAAAACAAGCCCAAGTGATAAACGCATTTGTTTCTAGTTTAACAAAACACAGGCAAAACTAACTATGTTTGCCTTTTTTGGGACATGAGAATAAACCACTGTTGTCAAAAAACAGTTGCAAATGTCTTCCCATCTCCTTTTAGAAGCTGTGCCACAGAAAGAGAAGCTCATGAACCCAAGTCTCACGCATATTCATGGGGTCCCTTCCAGCTCTGCAGCTCTGTGAAGGTGATGATAAACTACTGAAGCATGACTTTGTGCTGTCTCCAGAGAAGGCAATGACTGCAAACAGGGCAAGAGAAATAAGGCAAGATATGTCAGGCTGCCTTTCTCCAAAGAAGAAAGTGGACAAGAATGCCTAAAACTGATTTATAAGTAAGGTCCCATCTCTTCTGGCCAGAGTTTGGAAAGCACGGCATCCGGCGCACAAAAGCTTAATACTCTTATTGAAAACCATGTTTCTAGCCCTGAGATTCAAAAACATTGGAAGCAATTGGTGACACTGTTTCTCCATGCCACACCCTTTACCTCTCAGAAACAGAACACTTTCTACAAAGGAAGCAAATATGCACATCCTTAATTTAGCCAGGTTGCATTGTAGTTCAGCTACCATGTCAAAGGGTTTTAAGCTCTACACACTGGGAGGGCTTACTTTGCACTTCCAGGAGTCTGTGGGAACATTCTCAATGGCTGGGTTCAAGCAGTAGGTGTGATAGCATTTTTCACAAGCTTCACACACCAACATCCTGCTGTCCTCTCCAGACAACCTGTTAAGGGAAGAGACACTGTGAGCAAGCAGTCAATCGATTCGCCCCATTACGTCTTTGTGGGATACTCAACAGATGGCCCTTTTCTTCCCCGCCTTCAAGGGGACTTACACTCACCTGCAGGTTTGGCAAACTTTGCATTCGTGACACTGCCAGCCAGACCGCTTGCGTGGTGTTACTGTGATTTCCAGACAGGCACCGTGATAGTGCAGACCGCAGCTGGTGCAAAAAAGTAAATCACGCAGCTCCCCTGGGGCATCACATACCATGCAGCGTGAGTCCTCTGCAGGGAGGGGAGAAGGACACACTAGGACCAAAGTGAAGGCTTCATTCCCCACTAGTCTCCACCGTCTGCAGCCTGACTCAAGAACCAACCCTCAACGTACCTGATGCGCCTCCCTTTGACTGGGCACACAACGCTCAGAAACAAAGTTTCTTAATGTTCTTCTTCCTTTAGCTCTACCCATGATCAACCCTTTCCACTTATTTCCATAGTGTTCACAGAACCACTGATGTACCTAGAATGGGGCCCACCCTAATCCCAGCACACCGGAGTCAAATCTGTGCCCCACCACCTCTCCTTGGCCTACCACCAACGCATACCCATCTGTACAGCCTGGCTTAGGTGCTCTGGACACAGGAGCTTCAAGCTCTTCATTGACTGGAAGCAGCCACTAGCTGCTGCACAGGGGAAGTGATAATGGCGCTGGCACCCCTCCGCGTGGCATGGAATGGTAGCACCCCGTCTGTTACAGTGTTCACATTTCTGAAAGAAGCAAAGAATGTATCATGTACCCAAAGAGGAAACTGCTCTTTGTGCACAGGGATAGCAGACAAACAAAGGGTCAGAAAAGCTGAATGTACAACCCCAAGATACAGCTTTTGGTCAAAGCACACTTGCGATTACTTACAGTGGTGTAGGGCCCACCTAGTCTCTGCCTGCATGACACAGCTGGCTCCCCAAAGCTGTTCCACAACATCAAACCATTTAAAGAGGAACTATATGGCCCACTATCCAAACTCCAATTTATCCCAAAAGAGCAGCACAGAGCATGTTGGGAGACGTTGGCATTCCAGACGTCTTGGCCTACACTGTGCATCATCACTGCCCACCTAACATAGGGACTCTGGGGGTTGTAGGCCAAAATGGCTGGGGGACCAAAGGGATAAATACATGAATTAACTGCTCTCCAAAGAATTCCTGGATTCTTCACGGCCAAAAAAAGGAAATCTAAGTCCTTGTTGCCATGGCTTTGTATCATAGTATTTTCCTCTAGAAGTTTAAACATCCCGGATTTTTGTTACTGGAATGAATGCCTCCAACTGCCTCCATCTACTTAGTATGCCCATATTACAACACAACCTAGCTGTAAGGAATGTGTTTTCTGGAGGTAGTGGTGGTTGTACGTTTGTGCCCAGGTCACTGAAGAGTGGAGAGGGGGCAAAGAATAGTACTTTGGTCCTTGCAGGAAAACATGTTTGCAGGAGAGGTTGGGAAGGTTAATAGGGGGAACTGGTTGCTCTGCTGGATGAAAGATCGTGCTCTGATCACTGAGTTCCAACATTTACTTTCAAGCCTCTATCTATCTGATTGTGTCAAATAACTTATTCTCAACATTTAAAGGACGCTGTAGAGTCATGAAGAAAAGTCAGAAAAACAGAAGAGCATTTTTCAAAAATCTAAAGTTATGGCTTTGATGCAGCTGATTCCTAGAGCCTTCCCTGGGAGGTTAATCCATGGGACCTGATCTAATTTATCCCACAATAGCTAGAGAAGGTGCCATCCTCGTACCCCATTACAGCTGACTCAAACAGACCTGTGCAATCCCTGAGATGACAGCTTTGTTCACATGGCTCAACCATGACCCTTCTGGACGCAGGACTCCAGCTGACCAAACTACACACCAGTGATGAGCCCAAAAATGCCCTGTGGAGAAAAAAGAAAGAACAAATAACAAAGGAACACAATATTCAGGGACAACAGTGTTCAATGAGGAGGAGACCTGACAGCTTCCGTTAGGAAATTCAGGAAACATTATGTGGCACAATGAAGAGGACGAACACCATCATCAGAGCCCCCACTAGTGGATCTGTGGGTGACTCACAGTAGATATGTACTGAGTTGCTTGTGGCCCCTGCAGGTGTTCTTGTACTCCAAATGCCATCAAGCCCTTGCTGGTCTAGAGCACTGGTTCTTAACCTTGGGTTACTCAGGAGTTTTGGACTGCAACTCCCAGAAGCCTTCACCACCAACTGTGCTGGCTGGGGTTTCTGGGAGTTGCAGTTCAAAAACATCCGAGTAACAATATCAAGCCCTTGCTGGTCTAGACAATGGTGAAAGATGGAAGAATCAGTGGTTCATCTACATCTGGAGTATCCATGGTTCTCTACCCTTTCAGTAAATCAACAAGGGCTTCCAATTCCCCGTTACTCAGTAAAAGCAACAAAAGGCCCTTTCAGTCATATTAGACCATCAAAATTAAGGAAGCTTGGGGAAAATCCAAGAGTGAATCTGCATGTCA